ATTCGGGTGGTCGTTGTTAGCAGGGGGGTCGGTAGCGTGGCGGAGGATTCGGGTGGTCGTTGTTAGCAGGGCGGTCGGTAGTGTGGCGGAGGATTCGGGTGGTCGGCTTAGCGTGGCGTAGGATTCGGGTGGTCGTTTGTTTAAGCAGGGCGCCGTCGCGTAGTAGGTGTGGCCGGAGGATTCGGTGGTCGTTGTTAGCAGGGCAGTTCGGTAGCGTGGCGGAGGATTCGGCGTGGTCGTTTGTTAGCAGTGGCAGTCCGCGGATAGCGTGGCGGAGGATTCGGGCGTGGTGTTGGTTGAGCGGGCAGTCGATAGCGTTGGCGGAGGATTTGGGGGTCGTTTTGTTAGCAGGGAGGTCCGGGTAGCGGTGGCGGAGGATTCGGGTGCGTCAGCGTGTTCGGTGCAGAGCGGTCGGTAGCGTGGCCTGGAGGATGGCGGGTTCGGTCGTGTCGTTAGCAGGGGCGCGTCGGGTGAGCGTGGCGGAGGATTCAGGCGGTCGTGTACTAGCGTGCGAGGATCGTTTGCGGTTGTTAGACAGGGGCGTCCGGATTAGCGTGCGGAGCGATTCGGCGTGGGTCTGTTAGCAGGGCAGTCGACGCGTAGCGTGGCGCGAGGATCTCGGTGTCTGTTGTTAGCGGGCGGTCGTAGTAGCGTTGCGGAGGATTCGCGGTGGTTGTTGTTTGGGCGGCGGTCGGTTAGCGTGGCGGAGGCATTCGGCGTGGTCCGGTAGCGTGGCGTGAGGATTCCGGTGCGTTCGTTGTTAGCAGGGGGGCTCGGTATGTAGCCGTGGCGGAGAATTCGGGTGGTCGTTTGTGGGCAGGGCGACGGTTAGCGTGGCGCGAGGATTCGGGTGGTCGTTGTAGAGGGCAGTCAGGTAGCGTGGCGGAGAATTCGGGTGGTCGTTTGTGGTCAGCTCGGCGGGTCGCGCGGCTAGCGTGGTTGGCGAGAGGATTCGGAGTGGTCGTTGTTAGCAGGGGCGGGTCGGTAGCGTTGGCGGAGAATTCGGGTGGTCGTTGTGGGCAGGCGTCGTCCGGATTAGCGTGGCGGAGGATTGGGCGGAGTGGTCGTACGTGGCAGAGGAATTTCGCGGAGCGTGTGGTCGTGTTAGCAGGGTGGTCGTAGACGTGGCGGAGGATTCGGCGTCGGTCGTTTGTTAGCAGGGGGGTCGAGCGGGCGGAGGTTTCGGCCCATATGGTCGTGTTAGCCAGGGCGGTCGTTAGCGTTGGCGGCAGGATTCGGGGTGGTCGTTGTTAGCAGGGGGTCGGCCGGCGGATGTATAGCGTGGCGGAGATTCGGGCTGGAACGGTCCCCCCCCCCCCCCCCCAGCCGTTGTTAGCAGCGGGGCGGCGGTGCGTTGGCGGAGAGATTCGGCGCAGGTGGTCGTTTGTTAGCATGGGCGGTCGGTAGTGGGCGGGCGATTCGTGCGTCTCGGTGGAGGGTCGGCGTAAGCGTGGCCGGAGGATTCGGGTGGTCGGCTGCCGTGGCGGAGGATTCGGCTGTGGTCGTCTGTGGGCCAGGGCGGTCCGTTAGCGTGGCGGAGGCATTCGGGTGCGAATCGTTTGTTTAGCAGGGCGGGGTCGGTATAGGCGTGTGTTGGAGGATTCGGCGTGGTCGTTGTTAGCAGCGGGTCGGTAGACGTGGCCGAGAATTCGTAAGTGTTCGTTGTTAGCAGGTGGGGTCGGTTAGCGTGGCGGAGAGGATTTGGTGTGTCGTTGTTAGCAGGGCGGTCCCGCTGTAGTAGTCGTGTGGCGGAGGATTCGGGTGGTCGGTAGCGTGGCGGCAGCGATTCGGGGTGGTCGTTAGCGTGCAGGGATTCGGTGTGGTCGTTTGGCAGGGCGGTCGGAGTAGCGGTGGCGGAGGATTCGGCTCGTGCGTCTGTAGCGTGGCGGAGGATTGGTGTCGAGTTCGTTCGTGGGCAGGGCGCGCGGTAGCGTCACCGCGGAGGATTCGGCGTGGTCTGTTAGCTTAGCAGGGGGGTCGTTAGCGTGGCGGAAGATTGTCGGGGTGGTCGTTGTTAGCAGGGCGGTCATTGGATTAGCGTGTGCGAGAGGATTCGGGTGGGTCTTGTGGCAGGCGGTCGGTAGGTGGCGGAGGATTCGGTGGGTGGTCGTTTGTTAAGCGGGGCCGTCGTAGCGTTGGCGGAGGATTCGGGTGGTGTTGTGGGCCAGGGCACTGTCGGTTAGCCTGTGACGGGAATTCGGGTGGTCGTTGTTAGCAGGCCCGGTCGGTTAGCGTGGCCTGAAGATTCGGGTGGGTTGTTTGTTAGCAGGGCGTCGGGTTAGGCGTGGCGCGACGGATTCGGGTCTGTGGTCGTTGTTAGCAGCGGGGCGCGTCGGGTTAGCGTGGCGGAGGATTCGCGGTGGTTGTTGTGGTGCAGGGGGGCTCGTTCTGTGTGGTCGGTAGCGTGGCGAAGGATTAGGGTGGTTGTTGTGGGCAGGGGGGTCGGTAGCGTGGCAAAGGATTAGGGTGGTTGTTGTGGGCAGGGGGGTCGGTAGCGTGGCGGAGGATTCGGGTGGTCGTTGTGGGCAGGGCGGTTGTTGACGGTTGTTGCGTATTCGCGCATTGCAGAGTACGTCGCCGGGGGAACGGTGAGAGGTCTCCTCGAGGACCGGCAACGCTACAAGCATCTACCGTGGCCAACGCGACTCCGATTCTCACGCGACATCGCTTCCGGAATGGTAAGTGCACTTCGACCTTATTTTTTTTGTCGAATGAAGTAGGATCCTCGTATTCCTCGTATCCTCGTATTCCTAGGATCCGTGTATTCATCGTGTAATAAAACTGGGAGAACAATTAGTCGTAGCCATGAGCCATTTAGTGAATTCTGTGAGTCCATGCCATTTAAAATGATGAGGTTTCCTATGCATTTTTTGATTATCACAGAATAAGTGTGAAAGCAAAAACTTTTGCCACAAGTTAAGCACAATATGCACCAAAAAAGCATGGCAGAATATTTCTTAGTTTCATATTTATCGAGAAAAAAGAAAAAAAGCCTAAAATGTAAGTTGAATGTTAGGATTGAAAATTTACGCAAATATCGAAGCATAGCTTACTTGGACATCGTCTTATCCAGAATGTTGCTCAGCAATGCTGCTCAACATGTGTGAAATGTAATGTTGACAAGACTGTTGTCATTCTCTGCCCGGCAGGCCTACCTCCACTCAGTCAACATCATTCATCGCGACCTCAACACTCACAACTGCCTCGTCCGCGAGGACATGTCCGTCGTCGTCGCAGACTTCGGTCTGTCTCGCGTGGTCGCCGCCGTAGACATGAAGGTAGCAGCGCCCCCTAGCTACAACAACAACAACAACAACAATGCGGCGACCGCAGCGATGGCCGCCTGCCGCAGAAAGTCGCTGGCGAAGAGAAAAAAGCGGTACGTATGTGTTGCGTGCGCTGGGATGACTATATATATTAGCAGGAATGAATGATAACAAAAACATTTGTTCTTATTTGCTCCTGATATTATATATGTAATAATAAAACGTTAACTATACTAATAACGTATATATAATCAGGAGTGAATAAAAAAATATACAATACATATATTTATAAGCTTGGGCATGTATGTACGGTCTCTACATGCTCCCCAGGCTGAATCGATTTAGCGTGGCTTTCTCTTACAGGTATACAGTTGTGGGGAATCCTTACTGGATGGCTCCAGAGATGCTATCTGGTAAATGCTACGATGAAAAAGTCGATATATTCTCCTTTGGAATAATCCTCTGTGAGGTGAGTGCATGTCTGTCAAATACGTGTTGTGTGTGTGCGTGCATGCGCGCGTGTGTGCGTGCGTGTGTGCATGCGTGCGTGTGTGCGTGCATAAGTGTGTGTAAGTGGGTACGTGTGTGTGCGTGCATGACACCTTACAGGCGTGTGTGTGTGCGTAAGTGTGTACGTGTGTGTGCGTGCATGACACCTTACAGGCGTGTGTGTGTGTAAGCGCGTACGTGTG